TGTGTTATTGAAAGTTTAGAATTGGCTATACAGCTGCACTTAGCATTGTGGTTTATAGATACACCAACTCTGATATAATGGAAAAAATTCTGGATGTGGAATAAAAGACCTTTAATTGTCTAACCAGAGCAGACTTCCCTGTATAAAGTAAATGTTCACCAAATAAAATATCCTGACACTTGCAATTAGTTTTCTAAGCTTACAGAAATTACTTAATATAATTGAAAGAAAGACTAGAATATCCTAAGAGCAGAGGTCAGCAATCATTTATCCCAGAACTAGTGTGAGTGTGAATATGTGTGAGTGTGAATATGTGTGAGTGTGTATGCTGCTGGCCCTCTTGGGAGGATTGGGGTGATACAACTATTGTTTTCTCAAAACAGTCATTTTCCCCTCTCCACCGATAGGTTACTCCTAAACTTCCAGCTACAGGCCTTTAGCTAGCAAACAATGCAATGCTCTTCTAAGAACTGCCCATTAAGGAGTTTATCTCTTCTCAGCTGGATGAACAATTCAGGGACTTCCCAAGAACAATCCCTAGAGTACTGAGGCCCCTGGCAGATAAGGAGAAGCCCCTTCCTGCTTCATGCACCTGCCCCTTACCGTCTTCCCCTTCCCATTAATTGACAGGAGTCAAAACTTTACAGTTTTGTTTTCCTTAGAATTTAAACTAGTGCTACTGACCCAGAAACCAGATCGTAAAACACCACAAATCTCAGGCTATAAGAGAAAAGAACATACTAATACACAGTAGAGAGTTCTGAGAGGATGTGAGAATTTTTTTCCTTAAAACTACTTTCAATGGATCAGTTGTTAGACAAATTTGCAGCCAACAACTTAGAAGATACAACTTTTAAATTCTTCAAAAACATTTCTTTGCAATGCCTACACAAGTGCTGTTTGTTTTTTTTCTTTTAAAAATCAGGATTGGCTTGGTGCAAAGATCCTACTGCCAAACAAAAGTACCACTTTATCAAGCAATTGCCTGAAAATAAAAGTGTGTTATTTTTGAGACAACTGGATTTAGTCTTTTGCCACTGTACTTGAAACATTTACTTTAAAAGGCGTTCTTTGTGGCCTGGGAAAGTAAGTGACACTATTGTACCCACCAAATGGGCAGTGGTGCCACTTCATGTGGATGGTCCGTGACTGATGTGGTTCCCTAATCGGATGTCCTGGGCAACTGTCAGCCCGCATATAGCAGCATGTCTCTCGTGCACATACTCCCAGATGAAAGCTTGGGTTTCGGTGAAAACTAGTGTACCATTATGCTACACGGACCACCTTTTTATAACCTGCAACTAAATGTGTCAATTTTTAGGCTAGGTCAAACAAAATACTCTTTGTGGCTTTCCTATTTTAAAGAATTTGGAAATGTTCTCTTTTGCTGGAATCATCTGTGACTTTCCAATAGAGCTACATATTCAGAGTCCACTGGATTTATGGTATTTCAGTGGTTTCCCTTAGCCTAGTAGTTTCTGAATTTGGCTGCTCATTGAAATAACCTAGGGAATTATTTCAGAAAGCCCGTTTCCAGGGCCTCACCAAAATCTTCCCTGCAGTCTCTCAGTGTGAAGCACAGACGTCTATATTTGATAAAGCTCTCCAAGTACGTACAACGATCACCCAGGTTTGGGAACCACTATCATAACCTATCTTTCCTAAACTGATTATTCTTCCACCTCACCTCACACAGTTCTCCCTCTGCGCACAATATTTTTCTTTTTCTTCCAGGTTAAATGTTTTCTCAGTTTTACCTGCCTTCATGTTTTTTCTTGTAAACTCCTTCCAGTTTGTTGGTGAGGAAAATGGTGACAAAACTATTAAATGCATAGGTGGGATTCTTTTCAGTATTTTTTTTTCAATGCCCTCACATTTTTATTTTATACACTTGTCTTAGCATTTCTCCCAAAGATTCCTAAAGGGAGACTGCTGGCCGAAAGCTTTGTTCATTATATGTCCTAATAGCTAGTGACGATTGTGTATGTCCCAAAAAATCTTTTGCCTTTCTTCACTTTTTAAAAGTACAATAAATAACATGAAAGCCAGAGATCAAAGGAGACACTGAGAACCACTTGCAATCATTATGCCATATAGAAAGTGATTCAAATCTTTAACTTAAGATGGTGTGTTTTTAAAAAAATCCTCACCTGGGGATTTTCCCATGGATTTTATAGAGTGGAAGGGGAGGGAGGAGAGAGAGAGAGAGACATGCACTTCTATGTGAGAGAGACACACTGATTGGTTGCCTTTTGCACATGCCCTGACCTGGCCACATTGAACCTGCAACCAAGGTATGTGCCCTTGACTGGGAATAGAACCTGCGACCCGTAGGCGCCTGGGCTGATGCTCTAACTGCTGAGCCAAACCGGCCAAGGCAAGATGGGTTTTAATTGGTGTTAGTTCTTTTATTACAGTAAGCTGAAAAAGAATTATTAAAACTCTAATACCATCTATATCAGTGGTTCTCAACCTTCCTAATGCTGCGACCCTTCAATACAGTTCCTCATGTTGTGGTGACCCCCAACCATAAAATTATTTTCGTTGCTACTTCATAACTGTAATTTTGCTACTGTTATAAATCGTAATGTAAATATCTGATATGCAGGATGTATTTTCATTGTTACAAATTGAACATAATTAAAGCATAGTTATTAATCACAAAAACAATGTGTAATTATATATTCAATATGTGTTTTCCGATGGTCTTAGGCGACCTCTGTGAAAGGGTTGTTTGACCCCTAAAGGGGTCGCAAACCACAGGTTGAGAACAGCTGATCTATATGTATGTAAAAAGCCAGTGACCAGAATGCCGGAACGTAATGACCGGAATGACTGGTCACTATGACGCCCACTGCGGAGCAAACTGGCCTGATCAGGGGGTGGGGCCAGCTGGCCAACCTCCTGCATCCCCTCCTCCAGGGCCTGCCTGCCCCTGATTGCCCCCCCAACCCAATAGGGGGTAGGGCCAGCCAGCCAACTTCCTGAAGCCCCTCCCCCTGCCCGGCTTCACCCTAGATTGCCCCCCCACCCTGATCAAGGGCAGGGCTGGCCAGCCAACCACCCATAGCCCCTCCCCCAGGCTGCTGCCACTATCAGCCCCCCTACCCCATTTGGGGACAGGGCCGGTCAGCCCACTGTCCACAGCTGGCCCGCCCCCAATCGGCACCCCATCTCCAATTGGGGGACAGGGCCCTCCAGACAATCACCCATAGCCCCTCCCCCCAGCTGGCCCAACCCCAATTTGCCCCGATTAGGGCTGGGCCGGCTGGACCCCACCCGTGCATGAATTTGTGCACTGGGCCTCCAGTTTGACAATAAAAGCACTATGCAGGTTATTCTTCAGTAATCAGAAATATGATAGTAGCCCAGCAGTATCAGGTGAAGAGACCTTTAAGAACTAACATATTGTGTTCATGCTTCAGACACTTACCTGGCACTTACTCAGGTGCTCATTGCTGAGGAGATGAACGGGGGAGACATTTCCTATCTTTGAGGCTCACAGTCAGCCAAAGCAGAGGCCATCTTCACAGCTGATTATAACACAACTAGAGGCTCAGCACACAAAATTCATGCAGGGTAGGGTCCCTGGGCCTGGCCTGCGGTCAGGGCTGATCTTCCCTGGCTGCCGGCAGCCAGCCCTGTCCCCCACTGCTGGTTGCCCTCTGTGTGTGGAGCGACCAGGGGGTGGGCGATTGGAGCCCCAGCACCACCCATGTCCGCCGCTACCCACCCCCAGTTCCTGGTTCCCCATTGGGCAATTGGGGCCTGCAAACTGGGGGCAGCTCCTGTGTTGAGCATCTGCTCCCTGGTGGTCAGTGCGTGTCATAGCCAACCAGTCGTTCCGTCGTCTGGTTGATTTGCATATTATGCTTTTATATATATAGATATGTTAAATGCCATAAAGGCTGTTAAAAATTGTGCTCTGAGAAGAACAGGGTGAGGAGTCATGATGGACAAGAGGAATTCAGCTGCACTGGTGGGGTTGGTGAGGTAATTTCAGCAGAGGGCCCTGTGTGGGCCAGCATAGTGCTTGGTGTCCCCTGGCATGAGTGGTGGTGTGGTCACACACAGAACAGTGTGCTTGGGCACTTGTGTGCACACATGCACAGGGTGGAGTTGAAACAGAGGTGAGGCTAGAAAGGCACATTGACCGTATGCAGGGACACCATAAGTAAGTTGCACCTGAGCTGAAAATTATCCAGAAAGTTTAAGTTTTTGAGTGCCCAGAGGACCTCACCCAGCATCTCAGCTGATAGACAATTCCCCTACAAGGACACCATGACACTCACCAATGGAGGACTCTTGTCCAATGCTTCTTTTTAAAAAATCAATATTAAACTTAAAATGATTTACAACCTAACACAACATTTCTATTACAATATGCTCACAAGGAAAGATAGGATCAAATGTAACCTATAAAAAGTATATTATATCATCAGATACTAGCTCTGCAACTCACTTCCCAAGACACAAAACTAGGTAACAAAGGGCAAGTTAGTTTTAGAAATAAGGGTATGCTTCCATTTGAGAAATATTTCCATTGAGATTGGACTACTTTTTGAAAAAACTACTTAGAACACCTAATTGTAGGCATAAAGCCACCCAATTTTGTTAAAACAGGCTAATCTATAGTTTGTATCTGAGTGACGATGCATGCAGGTATGTGAGTAAAGTCACATTATTCTCCAATTTCTATGGGGAATTCTCACAAAACCATTATGGATTTAATTGCCTATTTTAAAAGAAAAGTTCATCCTCTTCTGTTTTGGAATATGGAATTTCAGGTTAGGGGGCAGCAGCCAGAGTCCCAAATTTAATGGCAGCCAATTAAAATTGTTCTTTTCCCCCTTATTTTTAATTTATTGTAAAATTATCAAAACTATATTCACATGGACAGCATTTCTCAACCTGAATGTTTTAAAATTTTTAATATTTTGTATGTGTGTGTCATTGGAAACAGACTTTTTCTACCCCTAAAAAAAAGAGTGAGAAAAAGATTATGTTTGCATTTTCTTTGTTCAAGATGTTTATTGCATCTCAGAGGGCATACATGCATTGGGTTTTTAAACTGAAATACAAAGAAAGCCATTTTGAAATTGGTTTTAGGTAATTTTTCCCCATTACAGTGTATGTTATCCCCACAATAAATTCAGATACAACCACTTTAAAATGGTACCATACATCTATTAAATAATTTGAAAAATAGGCAAACACCTTTCCAACCCAATATGCTTTTACAAAGAGCTGCCAAGCCACTAGCAACACTGATCAACAGTGACCTCATTTATGCATTGAAATCTTAAGCCAAGCCATCAGCACAGACAGTGTGACAACAAATTAAAAAGTAACGAATACAGTATGTACAGTAAAGGATACAATTTTCTGAATCAGTTTAAATTCTAATCACAATGGTACAACAGAACCTACTTTGAGCTGGGTTGAGGGATGGAAGAACACTTGTCTACAGAACACATAGAGAAATACTAAATTAACAGGTATACATAAAATTCACAATAAAGTCAAATATTTGCAGCAATTTTTCAATTACAGATACACTTTGGGGTGCCTTCATAATATCACTTGAATAGCACATCTCCAATTGCACTTGTATGGACATGATAGAAACAGACCCTTGACTTTTCAGTGCATTTAATCAAGAATGAATAAATAGGCCAATTTAGATGCAAAACCTGTCAAATATAATTAAAATATAGATTTTAATATAGCAGTGATTAAATAGGGAATTCTCACATTTTTTTTCATTCTTGATAAGGTAGCTTCAAGGAGAAATATTTATTATGGACATTAACCTTTATATTTTTTAAAATAAAATTTCTTAACATATACAGTGCCACAAAAATAAACATTTCTCACAACAGTTGAAGTTCCTGTGATTGGAAAAATGTATTCCACACCAAAAGAAGTTTTGTATATTTAAGTGTTTTCCTTACTATTTGATATGATCACACTATTCCTGTAACAGAGATGCAGAAGAAAAGAGAATTTATGGAGAGTTTAGGTTTGTCCAAAAGTTATATATACATTGAAACCTTCGAAAACACAGACACATCTTTCCAAATGGCTCACCACACAACAGTTGCATCATCCGTCCACGGGCGAGGTCAGAAAAGCACTAGGGCATGAGAAACATCCACTCATTGTTTACGTCATACAACACACAAATGACCCAGAAACACTACGAGTCTGAGAGTCGGGGGGACAGCTAAGGGAGTACACATTCCTAAGGTTCACTTTCACAGCTGTGCTACACGTTTCAGGAGAGGAGTTACGAGTAAGCATTGGGTTTGGTACTGGTGGCTCACTTTGTAAGTCTGAGCATCAATCTTATCTGGTCTCCAAACTCATTATTTTTTTTTCCTATTCAGTCACAAAAATTGCAGCTGTAAAGATAAAAAGCACTTGAATTAAAAACCAGTATTACATACTCTTCAAGCATTTTATTTATCTCCCTTGCAATTTTACTTCATAGGTAGTATAAAAAATCTTGATGCAAAACGTTTCTATATTACAAGATTCACCTTCATATACCTTTAGCCATTCTCTAAACTGAGCTTAAAATCTCAGCCAGGAAATAAAAAAGCCCACACATTTTAATGTATAGTTTTGTGTTAGAAAAAAATTATATCAGCAGAATTTTGGAATTTGGATACTTAAAAATCTTAATAGTAAGACATTCAGTCTCAATTAAGAACAGCTAACGTTTAGAAAAGAGCAGTGAAAAAAAGGGAATGGCAGGGATTTCTATTATTATTATTGTTGTTGTTGTTACTATTAATTTATTTTTAGTTATGGTGCTCAATGTGTCATCCAACGGTTAAACAAGTGACAGAATAGAAGAGAAAGGAGATATTCTTGGTGACTCAATGCCTTCATTTACTCTACTCCCACCCACACTTCACCAGTCATCTTTGCCATGAAACCTTGCCTGGGTCTTTAAAGCTTGGCCCTGTGGGTAACTCTTCACAAAACAGTCAGTGTGTGTCTTCCTCTTGACTGTGAATCCCTGAGGGACTGTTTCAAGGATCTCTGTTTTGGGTATTTAACAGCATTCTTGACATATAAGAGCAATATTCACTGAATAACAGGCAGAAACAAAAGGCTGCTCTGTGCAATGTCCTTGGGCACTCCTGGAATTTCAATTGCTCATTGTCTTACCCAGGGTCTACGCCTGCGGGCCACATGCAAATACAAATATTGTATTTGTTCCCGTTTTGTTTTTTTACTTCAAAATAAGATATGTGCAGTGTGCATAGGAATTTGTTCACAGTTTTTTTTTAAAACTATAGTCCAGCCCTCCAATGAGGGACAGTGAACTGACCCCCTGTTTAAAAAGTTTGAGGACCCCTTACGTATGCCTCCATCAGCCCAGTCCCACCCAAAGTGGAATATAAAAGGCACAAGAGAAATTACTTGGCTGAGATCTCAAAGTTTTAAACTATTAACTTTGTATAAGAAAAGAAATAAAGCAGTAATTTAAAAAATCTTAGTGGGCATTAGATAAAGTTTAAAAATATACAGATATAAATGCATAATGAAAATAACACTGGGTAGTGGTCCAAAAGTTCAACACTCTGCTAATCCAGTGTGACCTTGGGTAATCACCTGATGCCAAGTGTCAGTTTCTTTAGCTGTGAAATGAGACTATCTGGCTAGTTTATCTCACTGGGTTTGATCTCCTACAGAGAAGATCAAAGAAGATAATGACTGAGAGGGGTATGGAAAGTACTGAAAATAATGAAAAGCAGCATTATTACTGCTCATCCCACTCAGCAAGTATTTGTTGAGAACCTCCCCACTGTGTAAGGTGCTGGGGTGAACAGTCAACTTTTCCTTCATCATAATAAATTCACTATTAATCACTTCGTATTAGGTTAGGAATTTAAAAGTAGAATGTTAAAATTTAAAAATTCTACTCGAATGTAGAAAAGCAAAGGGTAATAATCTAAGTTTTACTTGATGAGGCCAAGAAAGGCTGAAGAAGATAAAAATACAGTATGTAGTCAAGTATATTCTTAGGTGATTTCTAAATACAATATCGTGTTACTTCTATATAAATTTCAGCCACAATTTACCACGTAGCTTGAACAACTCTCTGCTTTATCAGTATAATATCTATGCCTTCCGGTCTAAGGACAATTTGAAGATCTGTCTTTCTCTTAGTTTTATAAATTAAGTAAGATTTTAAAAAAAATCATTGATAACTCATTAATAGCTTTTAACATTGGCTTAAAATATAAATACTCAAATTATCATTATCATATACATGTATTAAAAACACAGAAGTACAAATATCATACCTGAAATAGCTAAGCATTGCACAGGTAAATATTGCAAGCCCACAGGAAAAGCTCAATATTAGATACCTTAAATTGTTTACAAGAAATCCTTGATGTTAAGATCCGCTAATGGGTCCTTTGCTGGAGGTTTCTTGGGACTCTGAGTGGCAGGTGTAGGGCTTGGAGAAAGCTAATGGGGAAAAGCCAGCCCCAGAGAGAAGAAATAGAAAGCAAACAAGAAAGATAGATAAGCATTAGGCCGAGCACGCACCACAGAAAACACACACGCAGAAGATTAGATGGCTAAGGGTTTACAACATCGACCTTGTTCTACTTAGTCACAGTGTTGTGCTTAATTTTGCACTTGTAAAATGCACTTCAGATGACATTTGGCTTTTTTGAAATTCTTTCATATCAGATGCAGCCAAAGAAAAATTGGAGGACTCTGGTAGAACAATATGGATATGAGTTAGAGAAGGTGTGAAAGACTAGTCACATAAAGATATTATGAATATACAGTGAGCAAAACAAAATAATCAATTTCTCTGTACAAAAGCATTTTGACTTTGGGTTATTAGTACCACTAAACTAATGAAGAAAATTTCAAGGACTTCTTTTATAGGGAGAGTGAGTTTGAAGGAAACATTGAAGAGTAATAGTTTGCAGAAAGCCACATAAGAAATTACTTAAAATTATTAGCTAAATATACTAGGATTTCATATAAAGTATTTTAAGTGAAAACCAGTCCAGTTTGGGCACTGTCTGTCTCAGATGAGCAAACAGTTTCCTGGTTATAAATGTCACTAAATTCCAACATTGCCTGTCCAACTTGCAGAAAAGACTAATTATTCAGCACTATAGGAAATAATCATACTGAACCTGCAGGAAAAGCAGCAAAGAATTACTTTACCTGGTATCTGTTTGACACCTAAATTATTTAATTGTGTGACAGAAATAGGTTCTGGGATCAGGCTTCTGCAGGAATGTTAGGGTACAAGGCCTTGATTTGGTTATGTCAACTATGTAGAATAGTAACCTTTGAGCCTAATTAATCTTCAATGCTCATATGATAGAAACCTCAGAAATATGGGATTGCAGGGCAGGGATGTATGTTTTTATTGGTTCAGTAAACAGCTCCAAGCATTTTCAGAAGTGTTCCTATGTCCAGAAACTATTGACTGACTGCAGAATCTGTCAGTCAAATTTCCATTTAAAAAACTTGATTCATACTTCATAGGAAGATCAAGACAAAAATGAGTATAAGGATTGGAGTTGTTTGGAAGATAAGAAACTCAAGGACTGATTCATAATTAATAATTAGGTGAGATGATAACAACATCATAATACCAACCAAGGGATAATGGGATTGTCCAGGCATCCCATCAGTAATAAAAAGCCGATCTGTTCTCTGAAGCAACAAGTCATGTTTATTATCTAGTATAAACAGCTGTGCTTCATCTCTGATATAAGATATACATCTAAAAATTGTATAAGTATGACATGCCATTTCCTAAATTACTATAAATTTGGTTAAATGATTAAAACATCGTTTTCATCATACAATCTATACTTCTCAAGTTTATTCTTTGAATTAAGTAAACAAATTGATACTATGTAACACTGGCATTATGCTAAAAATCCAACTACCTGAAATAATAAATAATAATTAATTTATTTGTAAAGTTCCAGCACACCAAGTTCATAAAAATAAAAACATTTTCCTTTTTTCAAAAAGGTGGTAAATAGTCATGGATATATTCAACCATCAAGGTAACACACCTGATAAATGAGATCCTTCTTAGAAATTAAAAATATCTAGACTAAATTTAGCCTTACTATTATCCACCAAACTTTCCTCACTCTCCCCAATAAAGCAATTCTAGGAAGGGTTCATAATCTCAGATCAGACTAGAACATTTCTCATGCAGACAATGCTTTGGTTACGGCATTGAAGGCCAGGGTTCCTCACATTTTAAATTTATCTCTTTGAACACCTAACACCATTCTCTCTCCTGGTCACTGTGGCTTTTGAGGGATTAAACTAAAAAAGTTAAAAGTACATTTTGGGAACAGGTAGAAAAGGGATTTACAGATGATTCAAGGAACAAAGGGGATTAATGTACATTCAGAAAGTTCACAGAAGGAATCCTATGGATAAGGCAATATAAATACCCATTGGTAAGTTAAAAATATAGAAGCAAAAACGTTCACTGACATTGTTAAAAGGTATTTGACTTATTTGCTTTAGTTTTCTCAGCATGGTGGTAGCAAAGTTATATCTTGGTGTTCTGACTATATCTAAGTAGGTTTCTCATGGTGCAAACCTCCTTGGTTCTACATACTACACCTCCACCAGGCAATTTTTAAGAGAACTCAAGAAAGGGTGACTCATCAGCATGACTATCACTACTAGCAGCAAAAGCAGTTCTACAAAGTGCACATATTTTAGCACCTACGATAATGAAGGTAGCACAATGTTTAGTAAGAAACTGGGCCTCACCTAAGGAGAGGTTTGCCTTTTCTCCTGGGTACCCTCTAAACCTTTGCAATTTCCCAAGTGACTTTGTTAGTAAGGTTGGATTTTTGAAAGTACACCTGAAAGTTTATGCTAACAAGATAGCTCAAAGTGGGGGCTAGCCATGACAGAAAAAACCAACCGTGTGATTCGAGAGTTGGGTCACTAGATATTGCTCTGAATTTTAGGGAGGAGAGGGGGGGATAGATTAAGTTCAACCACATTGGCAATAATTCTATTAATCTTTCCTATATAATGGAACTTCAATAAAAACTCTGCACACGTAGCTTCCTGGATTGGCAATACTGCATGAGTATTGTCACACACTGATGCCAGGTGGGTAAACCCATCCCTGAGGACAAAGAAGCTTCATGCTTGGAACCCGCCCAGAATTCACCCTCTGTATCTCTTCTTTTGGCTGGATTTAATCTGTATCCTTTCACTATAATAAAACTGTAATTTTAAATTTAGTGCTTTCCTGAGTTCTCTGAGTCATACTAGGAAATTATCTAATCTGAGGGTGGTCCTGGGAACCCTCAAATTTGTAGGCAGCTGATCTGAAGTGAACGTGATCCACGGGACTCCCAAACTTGTGTCTGAAGTGAGGGTAGTCTTATGGGGACTGCTCACTTAGACGTTACAGTTTGGCAAACTCATTGAAGTTAGTGTTACAAGTCTTGGGCAAACTTGGTAGTCTGGAGGACTGTGTTCCTAACCTTGAGTTTGGCTAACTCTGGAAACACATAATAAAACTGTGGATCAGAAGTACTCCTTTTTCTGGAATAAATACATACTTTCAATGCCTAGTTGTCCTCAGGAACCACTCTGAATGAAGTAGGAGAGGAATGGTGGGACTTTAAGACAGGTAGTTATTTCTATCATTTTCCTCTAAACCTCTCAGTATTGCTAGTTTGTCTTCCATGTTCCCTTTACTTCTGAAGCAACAGATAGGACATTAGGTAAACACATGTCAACAGTTTTCCACACGGCAGTTTAATACTTAGCAATGAATGTCCTTATTCTGTGGACATTTACACGGACCTGGGTGCCGGGTACAGCTGCAGCTCCAAAGGGTGGCCTCATCATGGGCTGTGCAAACATGACTGGCTGCTGCGGCATCATGGGCATGCCCGTCCCAGCCGGAGGCTGAAAAGGAACAGTGGTTCACAGCATGAGTGGAATCCACTATAGCAAGGTCCTAGCATTTATGTCTTTAATATGCTCCTGAAAATCCTGAGGACTCCAGGACCAGGAGAAAGTATAATTTGTGCTTTGACGCTGGAGGATGACAGAGAATCACTGAGGCACAGACGCAAGGCTGGCCACATAGCATCCTCATCCCAACCAGGCTTTGTTGCTGTTTATTTGCTTTCTGTAAGCATAATTCTTAAAGAGATAAAACCTTGTTTCCTTATGGATGATGGCCCTAAAATTTGCTAGTGATGAAAGTGGTAAGTGAAAAGTCCTAGTATAGGGATTAAGAATAGATTTTGATGATTGAGCTAAGAATGTTTGATAAATATTACTCCAAAAATAACATAACAGTATACTATAGAAATTATTTTGATAGAAATAATTTTAACTATTTTGTATGTGACTTTATCATGTCATGTGTAGACTACTAATATCTAAAGCAAACGAGGTAACTTTTTAAGTTTTACCTTACTGCATTTTGGGAAGAATTACATTTTTTAATCTGGGATCGGGCAATTTGGCAATGGCCTTAGAAATGTCAATTACACTTTTTAGTGCAGGTTGTCACTCACCATTCCAAACCCTGCTCCTGGTTGTCCAACAGTTGGAGCCCCAGCACCAGGAGGGACTGAACTGGTTGGAGGTACAGCTCCTTGCTACCATAAAAACCACAAGACAAACATACACACAAAATAACAAGACAAAAAAAAAGAACCAACATAATTTTGTTTAAAATGACAATACAATTTTAAAATGCATATCCCTTAGGTATATGTAGATATGCAAAGAATTTTCAAATTTTAATTTCAAATTTTAAAAAATGGGTCTAGCACCATGACAATTATATGAATATACTTACCAAATTGATGTTCACTGTTGTAGTGCTATTTGAGCTCGTTGGCTAGCTGATGAGTTATATTGGGTTTCCTCTCTACCTCCTTATATCTCTCTCTTCCACCCTCATGAAAAATGAGTCAAATTTATCTAAACTTTTCCTTTTCTCACCTAAGGATACACACTTTCCCAAAAATATATACACACACTTTGAATAATTATAAAGGCAGCATATATATATATATGTTTTGAGTTTAGAAAAAGAAGAAGGGAGGAGAGGGAGAGGGAAGGAGGGAGTAGAGGAGGGAGGGAGGG